ATTGAGGGCAGATGATTGAAAAAAAGATTACTCATTTCTTTCTTTGTTGATTTTTGTAATTTCAAAGGGCCATGTCATGGTGACCAAAAGTTGATCTTTCTATTATATTGCAGTTGTAGGATATTGTGAATTTTTGCAAATATCCTCTCACTTGAATCATCTGACATACTGTATGATGATTGAGGAGAATGTAGGTATCTTTAAAGAATGCATAGGCCTACTGTGGAAAATTAAGTTATCAAAGTGACTGAATGAACCTCAATGATGCTGCGTACTTTTGCAAGGAAGCGACATCTGGAATTGGACGAAGAGGCAAAGAAAATAGACCTTAACCCCCCCCCCCCTTTCCCCACTCCCTACCCTTTTTAGGATCTCAAAATGAACAGGACTTTACAGGCAGGTTCATCAGTAATTTAGATAAAATCTGCTGTTCTACAATTTCTAAATAATTTATGCTTTGATAACATGTGTTAACATGTGGAGAAAATTGTTATGCTTGATTGTAGTGTTTTCTACTGCAGAGTATCTTCTCATTGCTTTATGCATGGCATTCCACTTAATATATTTTCTGCTTTGTGATATAAACTTGTATTCCTTGTATTTAACTTGTTCCTCGCTTCCACGAGGGGAACATAACATTTCTCCTTTGTCATAGAATAATAAATTTGTTTTTTGTTTTTTGGGGGGTTTTAAAAAAGAAAAACCCAATGGCTGTTCTTTGACAAATGGATGGATGTTAAGTTTGTCATCAACCTCATTGCTTTCCTCGTGACTTAAGCTGGGAAAATTGTACTGGTCTCCGTATTTGACAAAAAAGGCCAAGCTCAATTGTTACCTTTTATGTTTTTGGTTTTTCCCCCATCCATTTCTGTTTGAACTGAGGGACCATTTCTAAGGATTTACCAGTATTAATGGAAAGTTTAAGTATTGCTCCAGTAAATTTGTGCCTTTCTCAATAGGCTCACGTAGTGCAGCTCACGAGAAGATACTGCTGATGTTTTTGGTTTTTTTCATGTCATGATACACAAATATATTTCACAACCAAATAATATTGCAGTTGGGGGATGGTTGGGGGAGGGGGATGGGGATTATTTAGGTTTCGTCATTGGATTTAAAAAAAAAGAATATTTTTGTGGCAATGAATTTTTATAGAATTTTTTGTGTTGAAATGTAAAGTTTATTGTGTATTCTTTCATTGTTGTTGTCATTGCCTGTAGCTTTTTTTTTATTGCACATGTACTGCGGGGTCAAACAGAGAAAAGCACTTTTTTAGGACATCAATAGTATTATGTTCCTTTGAGAACACATAAGAATTAATTTCTAAACTCCTCCTCATGCCAAACAAATATTATGTATGTCTCATTCCTCTTTATATAACTTTCCATGCTTTACAGTTTTTGTATATTGAAAGCTCCCATTGTTTTGTAAGTATACATGTTAATGGACACTTAAAAGTATTTGAAAATGTCTCTTCCTTTTCTGTGGCTGTTTTAAACCATAAAATCATATATCATTTAGAATTATGAATTCATCATAAGTTTGTTAAATCAGTACTTCAAGGCAAGAGTAAATGGTCATTTATACCTGTTGGTACTGGCTCCTCCTTTCAGATGAAATTTGTGGAGATGTGGCCAATTGTCAATATGTACTTGAGGAAAGTGATCCTCCTCTTTTGTACAGTCATCCCCTGGGATTCACAGAACTCTTTTATTGTATAAAATTTACTGATACCAACTCATGCATACGTATTTCCAGCTTAATCGAGCCTTCAGAATATCTCTTTGTTGTGCGATACACCCAAATAGATATATAGATATGTATCCCATTAATGCATTTTCCTCTTACGATAGTTTCTCATTTTTATTCTAGTTTTACATTGATTTTAAAATTATTTATCTGTATTTTAGAGTTCTATTTTGTTGTACATAATGAAGTACAGCTGGCCAGACATTTTGCTTTATAAAGACAAAGGACAAAGTAAGTCTCCAAGTTAATTGGTAGAGGAATAAAGGAAGAAGGCATGTCTCAAAGCCATAAAGATGAGCTGAATTTATGATACAAAATGTGTGTGCATTCCTGTGATATATTTTAAGAAATAAAAGTGAAATGAATTTATTTAAAAATCATGTTTTGATTAATAATGTGTGGTATAAATTTGTGTATTTGAGACTATATTCTTTGAGCCTTTGATAATCAGAATATTTTGTTAAGTCACTGAACTGGCATATGTGGTGTAGCGGTAAATGTAAATAAAATAATAAATAAATACATTTTACTTCATAAGTCCTTTGGGAAATTTGTTTAACTAATAGTGCAGATAAATATAAAAACACATTAATACGTCAATTAAGACATAGGCTAAATAAGTAGGCCTACAAAAACATAATATCGCGGTCTGTCGGCCGGGCCAAGCACCTTCCGTCAGCGTAACCTTGTCGCGAAGGTCAGGTCGGCTGGGAATAAAAGTGATATCGAGAGAATCATCTGTAAACGGGTGAGGAGCGAAATGCTCGTTGGCCTCGTCTACCCCCCCCCCCCCCCCCAAAAAAAAAAAAAAAAAAAAAAAACCCTGGGATTTCCTTGGGATTAATGTTAGTTGTCGGTCTTCGGTATAGCTGGTGTAGCGGTAACCTAACGTACCCCAAACTGGAGCCAGGATCTACATATGCGCTCGGCCTATCTAAATAAATGTCGTTGCTACGTCACGGACGAGCTAGAGAGCTCTGGGACTTTGTGCTGGTGAACCAGCGCGGCCTAGACCCTCCTGACTGCACTGTGGTAGGCATATTGGGGGGGGGGGGGCGTATTGTCATGGTTTTCATGAAACTAGAAAACGTACTACTGTAAACAACGTAGTTATTGAGAACAGATGAGAGAGGGTGAAAAGGGGGGGGGGGGCAAGGCGCCTTTAGCTCTCACCTAGTATAGCCCTAAGTGGGGGGATTTTATTTGATGAAGCAACAGAAGGGAGCATAATTTAAGTTTTTTAGGGGAGGGGAGTGTCAGACAGAGTCGTCATACCTAAATTAGAATTAGAAGGGAGACCTTTTGGCATAGGCGTTATTACATACGTGCACCAACATCACGGCATGACAACGAGGAAGTAGAAAAAACATTTACGAAGAGTAGGGTAAGGCAATTAAACTGCTGAAGTTTCAGGATATAAAACTTATCACGGGGAGCTTTAATAGTAATAGGTACTGATATGACGTAAAGAGTACGTAAAGGGTAATTGTTGAACGTAAAGAAAACAAAATGCATTGTGATGTCTTTAAAAATCAGTAAATCTTATTTATAATCTCACAAACAAAGGGAAAAAATCAAACTAACCAACGGTTAAATATCTAGGATAATATTTAGCTTTTCATCCGATGCCAAATGTTCCACGGAATTGAAATAAAGAAATGCAATTAGTTAAAGACAGGTTCAATAAAATGATACCAATCCTGAACCTCCCCCCCCCCCCCCATCTCAAAGACAACCAAAACAACATTACTGAAGTGTTATGTGTGATCAACCTTTCTAAACGGCTGTGAATGCTGGACAGTGGGAATAAAATAAGAAGCAACAAACTTGTCATGCTGTTCCCGAGATGGCTGAGAACTTCCTGAAAGAAAAGAAACCAAACGAGGCAGCACTAACAGAAGCCCACATGGGCCGCTTATCGATTAAAACAATCATTAAGAGACGAATGCAGTTTCTGTAAACTTGAATCGACATAAAAAAAATTGAACATCTTGCTCTCACTGGAAAATTAGAAGGTAACCAAAGCAAAGATAGACCCCGAGCAACTTACTTAGAAAACATTAACAGACCGGGACAGACTAGGGTAAGCGGAAGAAAGCAATAAATCAACTAAAGCAGAGGAAATCACCAGGCCCTGATGAAATTACAAACAAAATATCACAACACCTGGGCAATGCAGCCTTGCAGACCCTACTGGATATTTTCAACTTAAGCTGGAAAAATTGGCAAGTACCCCAGTGCTGGAAAGAAGCAACGGTGATCCCGATCCTTAAGCCAGGAAAAAGTAAGGGATCCTTAAGCCAGGAAAAAGTAAGGCACGACCGTTAAGCTATAGACCAATCAGCCTCACAAGCTGTGTATGTAAGACGATGGAGCGCATGAAAACTTGCAGAATGCAGTGGTACCTAGAGGTACAACACATCCTAGTACCAGAGCACAGACCACCAGACTACTCATTTGTCCCGAGTTATAGAGGACTCCTTCCATGCAAGAAAGTGATGCTAGTAGCGTTTATTGATGTACAAAAAGCGTTTGACAAAGTTTGGAAGGAGGGTCTACTAATCTAGCTCCTAAGAAGTGGTATTGTTGGCAACATGTATCAATGGATAAAATCTTATCTACTCAACCGAAGAGCCCGTTTGCTAGTGGGTGGATATTAATGACAGAAAATGCTGCTGCGACAAGGAGTATCCCAAGGTGGAGTCATGCTACCTTTGCTCTTTATCCTCTTCACCAATGACCTCGTGAAAGAACTACCCAATGGAATACATGCCGCATTGTATGCAGGCGAACTGGTTCTTTTGTGCTCTGAGGAATTCGCCACCACTGGCACACATCGCATGCAATTAGCACAGGACAAACTCACTACATGGACAAAAACCTGGTGTGTAACCGTGACCAAAGAAAAGTCTTCTGCTACACTCTTCGCTCTCAGCCAGGCTGAGTAAAAAAAACAAAACTCACATTGGACCCCCCCCCCCTCCTTAAGTTTGAGAATCATCAGAAGTATCTTGGAATAATCTTTAACAAGCGTCTCACATGGAAACAACACTTTCAGAATGCAGAAACTAGAGCCAGACAGAAGCTTAACATCATGAGTGGGGAGCAAATGAGAAAACACTCAGACAGGCCTATCTGGGCGCAATCAGGCCCCATCTTGAGTACGGATCTAGAGCATGGATGACTGCAGCACAGACTCACAAATACACTTTGAAGAAAGTGAAAAACCAGGCTCTCCGAATAAGCATTATAGCAATGAGGTCAACGCCTAAAGACAAGATGGAAAAACAACATCTATAGTGGCCCAGCGGAGGAGATGGGAGTGCAAGGCCCTCATTCAGTACACCAAGGCCACGCAGCTATGGGGGATCACATACTGCATACAAGAACAGCCAGATCAAACTCCACAAGACTTAGAAGATCCAACTTCCTCACAGAAAGCAGAAAAATACAAAGATCCCTACAAGACCATACATCAGCCACAGTGAACAAGCTCAACCATACCCCAGAGGCACCATCATTGGAAAAGAAAAACACAAACATAATTATACACACTTCCATACACCTATATTCACCAATAAGATGACCATAGCGACCTAAGCAAGAAAACCCTCACCCTGTTCATGCTTGAAGAAAGATACCGCCCAGAAGCATGGATAAGGATCTATACGGACGGGTCTGCCACTGATGCTGTGAAAAGAGGAGCGGGAGTGTACGTACAGTTCCCAAATGGACGACGCCTAGCAGAGGCAGTCTCAACAGGGCAGCATTGTACACACTACAGGGTAGAGACGGAGGCTCCCAACACATGCAGCAAACATCATCAGGGATGTGGTAGACCCCCAAACCAAGCCGTATTCTTAACATATGCCAAGTCAGAACTGCAAGCAATCACTACCGGCAAACTACCTAGGCTGCGAGAGTACATCCCATGCCTGAGGATCATGCTGTAGTGGATTGGTGTCTTAGGAAATGAACAGGCAGGCGGGATGGCCAAACTAAAAGCACAGAAAGAGCAACCGGACAACAGCGTCAACTATACAGACATGAAAACTATTATAAATACACTATTTAAAGCACCGAAGACACCAGATAGCTACCATGAGCTGTCCCGCGAAGTGTATCTTCCTACTAAGAACACAACACTCAAGACATAGACGACATAATAAAAAATAATAGATCTACAAATGTTTAAAACTAGTACAATCACCAGTTAATGACAGTGTGGAGAGGTGGAGCAAACTGTTGGACGCATCCTTCAGCACTACAAGACACACAGGGCCCTGAGACAGAAAACGTGGTAAACACCACTGAGTGACACTTCAGCAGAAGTTATACGAGCCGACAGATGAACTGAGCAGGACGGCCAAATGTATGACAGTTACCGGACTTCAAGTGAGATGCGAAGAAGAAGAAGAAGAAGAAGAAGAAGAAGAAGAAGAAGAAGAAGAAGAAGAAGGAGAAGGAGGAGGAGGAGGAGGAGGAGGAGGAGGAGGAGGAGGAGGAGGAGGAGAAGGAGAAGAAGAAGAAGAAGAAGAAGAAAAAGAAGATAATAAAACATGTATATATACGTTTGTGTTTTTGTTTGTTTTAAAACCAATTTTTTTGGTCCCGTGTCCTGATTTTGGTGCCGATATTTGTAGGTTACGTAAAAATGTATTGGCACGGTGCAAATTGTTATGTTTCAAGAAAAAAGCAAACAAGAAAAATGATGATGATGATGATGATGATGCTGATGATGATGATGATGATGATGATGATGATGATGGAAATAATGTGCATGTTAATCTTAGAGTAAAGTGTATTTCACTTTTTGTTTGGCGCTTACTCTGGATCCCCGCAAGGCTGTCCTGGGGGGCAGGACACACACCTCATTCCCAACTCCTCGCAAAGAGTGACCAGAAATCTACCATAGTATACTTGGCAACTTGGAAACTCAAGGGCCACTTTTCCCCGTACAACTACGACAGCTACAGAGTTGAAAGTTGGCAAGTACCTGTAAAAAGATATATAGGTCCCCATGACGGAGCCCGATTTTTTTTATTTATTCCTTTCCTGACTTGAGAAAAATATATTTGACATAAATTTCCTTTCCTTCTTTGGCCTTTGTGATTACCGGGTATTCCACTGGTGCCACCAAAATGAAGCAGTCATCAATCCTTCAAAGGCGCTGGTACTTTGGTGTTCCCTCAACAACAGGATTGTCCAAGACATAACTCCACCAATCACTTGCAACTATGAGATTATCGACAGACAGTCAGAGCTGAAGTATCTGGGAATCGTCTTCGACAGGTCGTTGTCCTTCAACAAGCATGTGAATCATGTGGTAACAAAGGCCAAACGAGGTGTTGGTGCAATCAAGACCATGGCGGCCGCT